ATTCAATCATCAATCCAAACAATACAAACACCAACAGTACATTGTACCCAAAATTTATCGATACAATGTCATCATTATCTCTCAATGATACAACCTCATCTTCTGGTGTCAAAGTTAAAGAACCATATAAAGTACGAGCTCTATATGATTTCGAAGCTGCTGAAGATAATGAATTAACTTTTAAATCAAAAGAAATCATTCTGGTGCTAGATGATAGGTAAATACGAAAATTAAACGTCTAAATAATCTGTCAACAATTTAACTGAATATCAATAATAATGTTGACAGAATAGGCTGTCAATATATGACTCATGTTAAGATTATTTTTAATGTCAACTAACAAATGATTAGCTATGAGTAAATTACATTGATGGTTAAACTATCAATTGATTCAATTAATGGCAGATTATTGTTAATGATAAAACTAATGATTAATTGACTTTGTAAGAACATTTCAAATTATTCTAATAGAGATTTTTTTTTCTTCCTCTCTAATTCTCTACTTAAATCTTAATCTAATCAATCTAATCAACTGATTTCTTTATTATTTTTTCTTCTTCTCTTCTTTTTAATCTTCCATAGTGATCCCAATTGGTGGAAAGGATCAAATCACAGAGGCGAAGGTCTTTTTCCGGCAAATTTTGTCACCACCGATCTGAATGAACCAGAGCAATGTAGGTTGATTGTCGCATAATCAAAATGATTTGTCTCTCTCTCTCTCTCTCTCTCTCTCTCTCTCTCTACGATCAACAATCAGCTCAATTGCTGATGCAAATTTATTCATATTTATCTGTGTCATTTACTAATTAATTTATTGTTACAATTGTTTACTTTTCTTTTAGTTAAATCAAGTGAAAAAAAGACCGTCCAATTCAATGAGACGGTTAAGGTCAAAACTCTTGAACGGGAACCGCAACAAGTTGAAATCGATGCTGAAAAAATTGATAGATTGTTAAATCTTTTGCTTGAAGCCGATCCAACCGGAGAAATGGTAGATACAGAGGAATTGATTCAATTAGAAGGTATTAATAGTAACCATGATTACACCTAAAAGATTGATAAATTGTCGGGGATTAGTTTTTCCCCTTCACCCTATACTGATTTAATTGGATTTACTGATTAACTGATTGATTTTTATTTTCCTTATCACTCTCTTTCTCTTTCTTGTTTTCCAGAGCAATGTATGCAAATGAATGTAATGATTGACCAGGAGCTTGAAAAGATTGACAAAAAACACGCAGCCCTAATCGGAGTTAATTCACAATTAACTGAAGCCTTAAAAATGTATCACTCACTGATGAAAGATACTTATCCATTAGCAGTAGCCAGTGGTCACTACTCAGCAAATTATATGCCACCAGGAGGAGGAGGTCAACCAACATACCAAACTGGACCAGTTCTCTATCAACCACAACAACCACAGTCTCTTCCTCAACCTCAACCTCAACCCCAACAATTAGCTCATCCTCCACAGTCTCACACACCTCACCCACAATCGATTGCAATGATTCCCCACCAGCCTCAATCTCAACACCATCTCCACCCTTCAACCAACCCTTATCCTCCACATGTAATGATGGCTTCAAATGCTGTCAACACAAACATCCCAATGACTGGTGAAGATTATGCTCCAATCAAATGGGTCCCCCTCCTCCTGTTCAGTCAAACAATTTGAATTACAATGAGAATCAATATTTTTCACAAGGCTTTAATCAATATGAATTCCAACAATAAGTTAACAAAATGTTTCCATTTAATTGTTTACATAATTAAACAGCAATCAAACTACAAACATTCAACACTGTAAACACCAATTTTCCCCTTTCAATTTGGTAAAAAATCACTTTTAAACATTAATTATAATATAATATTTACCTGATTGATAGATTGTTGGGTGAGAAATACAACAATTTAAGATGTAACTGTAATGATTAACACTAATCATTATCCATTTTTGAACATTTCAAATGTTTTACCAAACAAATGAAGCCCAAATAATATCTGATTGTTATTGATTAGTAACTAATCAAAAACAACCTACTTAAATAACTGATTGTTACTTTTTAATTGAGCTAGTGATTTATTGATTAACTCAAGATATTCATGTTGACCAATGATAAAAATAATTCTAATTGATCTTAATGCAATTAACGAAACAACAACAACAATTAGTTTGAATGGTCAACAAATGATTATGTTAATTTAGTTAATAGGACATGAAATTAACTTAATCAGTGCAATAAAATCATTGAGTAACTTTTAATAATTGTCTTTGGGTTAACTTTTAATGAGAAACAAGATTAATTAATATTCAACAATTAACTTTATCAAAATTAAACAATTTCTTCACCATTGTTTTATAATTTAATCTCAATGTGAGGGATCATAATTTAGACAAACATGCCAACTGATTAAGAGGTAATGTAAATTTAATTTACGTAAACAACAATTAACTAACGATACATAATAGATGAAAAAACACCAGCAACGTAATTAATTAATCAACAATTAATCCAAGATTAATTTGATAAAATTAATAATGAACAATACCAAATACAATTAATACAATTTAATCTGAAGAGACATTGAAAATATGATAAGATGAAGATAATTGTTAAATTATTATTCAATGAAATTTAGACTAATTAAAGAGATTGATTCGTTTATAGATTAATTGTCACAACTGATTGTTATTTAATTTAGATTGATTATCATAACAAATTGTGTACTGATTTTATAGTGCTAATTGATACATTTAAATGAATATATAAGAATGAGCAAAATCATTGATCAAGTTAATTAATAGACTAATCAACAAGTTGAATTGATTATAAAGTGTCAATTGTTAATACATTTAAATTGTCAACCTTTCATCCAAGAGGAAACAAAGTTAATTATGTTTCAATTAGTATTTTCCTGTGTTTTATTGGCTTTTGTTGGTGTTTCATTTGGTGATCATCATGATCGTCCAGGTAAATACTTGGCCCACGACCGGACAGTGGTCAATTGTGCTAAATACAAGCGAGAGGCCAATCAACATTCGTGCGTCCTTTCAGCTTTCAACACGGAAGGACCTTATTTCTTACCTGATGATTTAGAACGATCTGATTTAGCTGATGATCAAATTGGTATTCCATTCAATTTAACAATCCAATTAGTTAATTCCAATGATTGTAATCCATTAAGTAACATGTATGTTCACATTTGGCATGCAAATGCCATGGGAATGTATTCAGGAGTAGATAATGGTGATCAAACTGGTGAGGGGTCGAAAAATTTGGACAAACTTGACCATGGAGGACCAGGTAATCCAGGGTTTCCTCGAGGTCGACCAACTCCAATCAATAAGTCACGATTCGGTCGAGGTTATCAAGTGACCGATGCCAATGGTAAAGTTCATTTCAGGACAATTATGCCCGGTTGGTATACTGGTCGATGTTTACATGTTCATGTTGAAGTTTATCCTCAAGATACAACCTCCGAAGTGACCTACTATATGTTGGTCAGCTTTTCTTTCACCGTGAATTACCCTATGAACTTAAATTGGTTGAACCTTATTCACAGAACAATCAATTTTTAGTTGTTAATGAAAACGATGGTATTTACATTAATCATGGAAATGAAACAATTCTAGATCTAATTACCCGTGGAAATAATTTCAGAAGCTCAATCACTTTGGGTATTGATCCAAATACTTTGAAATAGATTCTCAATTCCAATACTAATCCAATCAAATCCTAATCCATCATAACAATTAACTTGATATAATCTCCAAAAACCGGGATTTTATTATATTTGTAAAACTTTCAAACACTAATAATAAACTAAATCAAAAGATTACTTTTAATTATTCATCATATTAATTGATTTACTTTTCTCAATTCATTCAATACTTTTAATTGTAATTTGATTTTCACTTTTGTGGCCAATCAATCTGGTCAATTGTTATGATTAAGAATCAACATAAACTCATGATTAGTAATAATTTACTATCAAATTTAATTGTCAAATTGAAGTATCGACAGGTAGCAATTAATTTAATTTAGAATTGAAATTATAGTTTAATTACTGGTGAAGCAAAAAAATAAATTAATTGTTTTGATCACAAAACTTGAGGTCTTACAATCAAACCAATAATCAGTTAATCACAATAATGTTTATGTCAACTGAACAAAGGTAATCATAATTGTTTGAAACAATTACGCACACAATTTGTTAACAATTGAAGTTACACAATTAAATCAAGATTAATCATAATCATGATCTGATCATTAAGATTAAATTGGGAGTAAATACTTTGACATTGAATCAACAATTTGAAGTGAAACCACAATTAATTGCTTGCATCATATTACATTAATTACAGAGCTGATAATTAAACAGATAGATCACAATTAACCTTAAATTGGAGCCAAACTTTTGGATGATTAAATATTAATAGATTCAAGTTTATTGTTTGATTGATTTGGTTAATTTTTTCAAACTTGAATTTTATTAATAATTTTATCAATTTGTTAATTTTTGGGCTAATTAATTGTTGAAAAATTGATAACAATTTAGTTCACATTGAAAGTATAATAATAATAATATTCAATCATATTCTCAATCAGTTAATCATCAAAATCATCTCAATTGTCAGGGGCGACATTAATTGTCCTCATCTCTTAACATTAATAGTTAAGCTAATCAAACAATGTGATGATTAAATTAATTAGGTTATCATATGTATTGATTGTTGTTGCCTCTTATTTATGTAAATCAGGTATCAATCAATAACAATTAATTGTCGATAAAATTGATCCAATTATAACAGTGTACTCATTGTTAGCATCCACTAATTATCATTTTTAATTGTTATAAACTAATCTGATTTAGCTTGATGGAAATATCTATAATTATGTATTGCCCGAAATTAATTGTAATCAAAAGTGTACTAATCAATTTATATTATATATACTAGTACTCAAGGAGTATTTTCAAGGCAGCAATTTGATTAGCGATTAAGTGTTGAAAGAAATTAAAGTTTATTGTTTACAATTAGTTAGATTTATGTAAATGATTTTCTCGAAATCATTTTGTTCAGTTTTATTTAGCTTCAGGATTTAAGCCCAAAGTAATTGAACTTGAGAATCCGGAACCCTTGGAATCGAGTTCAATCAAAGTTTCGTTGCCATGATTAAGGTAAATATGATCATTATCATTGAGCAAAAGTTGTTGATTATTCTGTGAATAAGGTTCGATTAATTTAAGTTGATAGGGTAATTGTTGATCGAAAAAGATTTGACCAACATAGGAGATTTCATTGATTTCGGTTGTATTTTTAGCGAAAACTTCAACATGAATATGAAGACATCGTCCAAAGTACCAACCAGGAATAATGGTCTTGAAGTTAACTTGACCATTGGAATCGGTGACCTGGTAACCACGACAGAATCTTTCGTTGGTTGTTGGAGTGGGTCGACCAAAATTACCCATACCACTGTTTCCAGGGCCAGCATCTTCCATACCTGGTGGTGGTCCTTGTGGACCATTAGGACCAAATGGGCCGCCGGGTCCACCGAAACCAGGGAAATCAGGCAAATCAGGGAAACCTGTACCATCTTGACCAGCATTTTCTACACCTGAGTAACTGCCCTTAGCATTTGTATGCCAAATATGAACATACATGTTTTCAAGGGGAGTACAATCATTGGAATTGACCAGATTAATTTTCAAATCTAATGGAACACCAATTTGATCATCCACAATATCAGATCTCTCTAAATCATCAGGTAAGAAATAAGGTCCTTCCGTATTGAAAGCTGAAAGGACGCACGAATGTTGATTGGCCTCTCGCTTGTATTTAGCACAATTGACCACAGTTCGGTCATGATCCAAGTATTTACCTGGTCGATGGGGATCACCAAATGAAACACCAACAACGAAAGCCAATAAAACACAGGTAAATTTAGTTACACTCATGATTAATGACAGAGAAAAGGCAAAATTGAATACTAATTATATTGATTGATAGCTAACAATTAACTCACTGCTTTATATATGTTTATTTCTTGTCTTAAATAATCATTAAAATCAATCAATTGTTAACGCAAACCATTGAATAACCAGGATTAAAACAATTTATCAATAAATTGTATCAAATTAGCACATCCTGGTTAACAATTATTAACTTCTGCTCAATGATTAACAATAATGAAACAGTATCTTATTAACTAATTGTAACGTCAATGGTAAATCAATTACCTGAGATTATTCAATCAACTTGTTTTCAATTAGTTGATTTTTCTGTTTAATTACTATTGTTTTGTCTTGAGTAAAGTTTATCAAATTAATCAATTGAAAATCATTAAAAACAATGATAATTACCAATTATTTTCTAGAAGCTTAATCAAATCAATTGTTTTGCTTTCATTGGAAAAATTGATCAGATAATTTTCATAGTAAATTGTTAGACAATCAAAAGTGATTTAGGAAAATAAAATTGAAACAAAAAACTTTCGTTCCGATTGATATTATTTACTAAAATAATATTAAAATTGTTATGATAATCGTTGTAAAAGTCAGTTGATTGATTGACAATTATACATTTATAATTAATATAATCAAATAGTCTTCAATATAATAATAATTATTAAAAAAAATGAGAGATTTTCAATTTAGAGCAAAAAAAGTTGGAATGTTTTTTTTTTCGTTGTGCATTAATAATAATATTAAAATGGAATTGAATTGTTGGTGAAGAGAAAAAAAAAGTTCTGATGATATGATTTTGATGATATGATGATGAGAAGGATGAAAATGTTGTTAATTATTTAATCCAATTTACTAATTAATCTTAATCTTTGAAAATTCATAACAGTGTTGACCGATATGTTGACGTCTAGATCCATTTCGTTGGGGCTCATGTCGGTTTATTGTCCCTCGAATGGGTCGACCTTTATAATCGAAACCAAGGAACCAATTATCGTTGTAGAATGAGCGATATTTGTATTTATTATATTTAGAGATCTCTCGGAATATGCAGGAAATATCCCACTGACCATTGTCCTGTAAAGGAATAGAAGAAGAAAAAAAAATGATCAGTAATCATAAAGACGAAAAGTATGAAAAAGGTAAAGGTAAAAACACCAAAGCAAATGGAATAACTTTTCAAACAATTAATTGATTGTTAACTCGACTCAAGGGTAAGTGGAAAACTCAAAGATTAAGATGATAATGATGATAATTAGGATGATAGTTTATGAGGGTTAAGATGATGAGATTGTCTTATCTGATCAAAGTAACGATAATGTAAAGGTAAAAATTTGAATTCAATTGGGAACCGAGGAGTAAGTGAGAGAGTGGGTGGTTGTGGGTCATGGTATTATCATCAAATGGTGAATGTTGTAAAGATGATGAGGATGATAATGATAAAAGGATGAAGATGATGATGGAAAATCATAAAAAAGTCTTCTCTCAGTTAATAATACAAATAAAACTACAGGTAAAGTAACTCAGGTAAAAGTTTTTTTTTTATTTTTCCTTCTTAAACAAAAACAAAACCAAACGAAATGTTAATTATAATGATACTTTTCACCATCACCATCACCATCATCATCATCATCGTCATCATCTATCATCAGGAAATGATCATCTTCATGATGAAAATATAAAAAACCGGCAACAATTAACAATCAACACACATAATACAAAAGTTTACCTTCTCTCCAATGAAGTTAACATTGTTTATCGGTTTACAATTAACATAAACTATTGACCTGACCAAAGGAATCAAATTAACATTTAAAGTTGTTTATTTCATCATCATCATTAACCATCATCTCTACGGCTTAAAGGATGAGGATGAAGATGAAGATGAAGATGTTATTATTATCATTAATGAATGAAAAGGAACCGAAAAAAAAAACAAAAACTCTAATCTTTTTTTCTGATATAATAATATACTGTTGTTCATGTTGTCGGTTGTTAACCATACCACTTATATCATTAATAATGGTTTATGGTTTAATTAAAGTTGATTGTTTTC